AAATCACAGAACGCAAAAAATGCCTTCCAGCAGCATAGGATTTGTCCATATATTACCTAACTAGGCTTGAACAGACAGCTCTCTCTGTAATAAGTGCTGGAAGAACAAATTAACAATTTCATCAGCCAAATGTCCAAGACAGAGAAGTGCCTCTCTTTCTAACTGATTGAAAAAGTAAAAATTATTAGTGCAGAAAAATATTACTTTTTCAGGCAGCTAACACTACATGACATATAGCAAACCTTTTCTAATAACAACACAGAACAGCACTAGCAACTTTATTAATAAATAAAAGCTTATTAAAATAAATTAATTAGGGTTGATTCCAAAATCAGTTATTGTAACAGTTCAACATAAACTTTACTTCTCTATAAAAAGCTCATAAAATACTCAAAATATTAACTACCCATTAATTTATTAACTGTGCTATATAGTCAAATTCAACACAATTTTAATAGGCACTCCATTATTATTGTCCTCCAAGTTACGGAGCGTTACATAACATGATCCAACCTAACTGGTAGCATAAGGAGTTTAAAATCAGGTTCAGGCTGCCTCTTAGGTTTTAAAGCTTCAGAGAAACCTGGTGTGGAGAGAGCACACCAAGTGCTATGTTTACATACTGACACAATGGTATAATGATTACACAAGTTACCTGAGTAGTCATATCTCATTGGACCCATCCACCGCTTCTTTTCACTATCTTTTAATATATCTCCATAAAAACCATAACCCAGCAATGACACAGAGTACTTCAAAAATGTGTTGTTATGATGTACAGAAGAGACATCCAGAGGCTGACAGTCACCTATGAAAATTTGAAGTGCAGTGCTCTATTAAAACTTTATCTCCACTTGCAAACACAATATTAACTTCAACATTACAATTTTTTTAAAAATAACAAATATGCTGGATTTATGTCATAACGTTATGTCCTATCTCCATATATATTTCTTATACATGCAGGAAGGGGAAAATAATTTTTAATAATAATTTAATTTAGTATTTAAAAAGCATTATGCACTAAGTGGGAAGAAAGGTTGGAAGGCTAAAAATCTATCATGGAGAATTTACACTCATTTGCTATATATCAGTAGATGGGGATGTTATAGAAGAGATCAATGCAGTATCTGTACATTTACTGTGTACTACTTAATCCTGTATGCCATACATCCTGAGGTTCATTCTAGCTGGAAGGGGCCTTAGGAGGTTTCCCATCAAAACTCCCACTCAAAGCAGGTTCAGTTTTGAGGTCAGATCAGGTTATTCAGGGCTCAGACAGTGAAGCTCTGAAATCCCCCAAGAACAGAGACTACACCACCTTTCTGATGTCCTCATAGTGTAAACTTTGGAGTGGTGGTGGGTTTTGGGGGATTGTTTTGTTTCTTTCCTTGGTTTTTTTGCTTGGTTTGGGCTTTTTACTTTTCTTTCACATTACACCCACTGTCTCTCATCCTTCCATAATGGACTACTGTGAAGAACCCTTTGTGTGAGAAACAATCTAAAAAATCTAAATATGTGTGTTGCAAGCCGGTACTGAGGGGCTACCTCAGAAGCAGAACAGTAGAACAGTTTCCCACAGTATGTATACATGCACATTTAATAATTAATCTAAAATACTATGATATAGTAAATCCACGCATCCCTCTGTAATCCCAGTCGAGTGGCCTAAACTCCACATCTGCTGACCAGATTTAACCACAGACCGGTAACAGAGAAGCACGTGTGAAAACCTTCGCAACACCAGCTCCTAAAACTGAAACTGTTTAGCAAAAAAACATAATAATGAAATAATTCTCACTTGGAAACTCTGCCTTCTATGCTTACACAACATTTTTATACCTAAAGACTACCTTATACAGTTTTTCAAATTTAGTATTAAAAACTATGATCCTTCAGTATGTGTAAGATCAGATGGGCATCACAAATCACAATGCACTGAATAAGCCACGTTGTGTCCTTCAGCTCCAGTGCAGTTCAGGGACTCCAACACTAAAGGAGTTTGAGAAGTGGTTATGTCAGCATCTCTACTGATGACAACATATCAAAAGCATTTACTCAAGACCAGATGTTTTTCTCACTAGTTCCTCCTCAAGTCTATGACTTACAGATGGTAAGAATGAGGAACTATCAGGTAATTCCAGTCAAGTGGAAGCCATACTTCTGACTTGGCATGGAAGCATTGCACAGGACAACTGGACATCCAGTACAAAATACTATTATTCCAAGTGTACATGCACTTGTCATAGCTTTTTCTAAGAGGAAGAGAAATAAATAGTCCAACAAGTTACACTGCTTATTGTATTTTACTATTTCCAGAAACATGGCAGAATGAATAAAAACTTAAGAACCAGATATGAACCTTCAAAATGTAATGATCCCTTGAAAACAATTAATTACAGTAGAGAAATTAATTATTTTTTAACTTGCTGTGTTTCAAATTAGAATTAAATCTCAGACAAAACTTTTATGTTCCAACTCAGTTATGTTCAAATTATATTTCACATGTACCTAGAAAGAACTAAATGCAGTAACTATTTTTGGCTATTTTAATTATTTTCATTATAAAAACACCGAACTGTGACTGCTCACCTAAAATAATATGAAGAGCTGATGTTACTGGGTCAGAAATGCCAACAGTTGAATAGCATACGCAATCTGTTGATCCTGAAAAATAAAAAGACAGAGGTTAATTGTTACGTTTTTTTAAATACAAGTAGTATTGGCATGGTCCTCCCAGGAAAAGCATTCTGTTCCTTTGGCCTGCCCCTTTATTTCATGGAACAAAGGAAATGTAAGGACACAAATTTGAATTGTAACTTTTCAACCCCCAATAATGAGTAGAATTTCTCTCCATACCAAGTTTATTGGTGGAAAGAAAATAAGTTAATTCACACAAAACTTCACTCTGTTCACAAAGGCATGTAACAACAGGACAAGAGATAATGGTTTCAAGCTAGAGAAGGGCAGATTTAGTTTGGACATTAGGAAAAAGTTCTTTAATATGAGGGTGGTGGATCACTGGAACAGGTTGCCTAGAGAGGTGGTGGAAGCCCTGTCCCTGGAGACATTTAAGGCCAGGCTTGATGGGGCTCTGAGCAATCTGTTCTAGCTAGAGATGTCCCTGCTTATTGTAGGGGGATGGACTAGATTACCTTTAGAGGTTCCTTCCAACCCAATACACTCTATTCTATGAAAAATTTCAGGATCGCGTTACAGCTTTTCTTACTCATTGAGATCTCATAAAAATAATTTATTCATCATCACAGAATGCCAGGTTGGAAGAGACCTCAAGGATCATCTAGTCCAACCTCTCTAGGTAATCCCATAGTTTACATGAGATGGCTCAGCACCCTGTCAAGCTGAGACTTAAAACTGTCCAATGTGAGGGAATCCACCACTTCCTTTGAGAGACTATTCCAATGTTTGACTGTCCTCATGGTGAAAAATTTACCTCGTGTCCAACTGGAATCTCCCCAGGAGCAACTCATGTCCATTACCCCTTGTCTTTTCCATGTGACTCCTTGTAAATAGGGAGTCTCCATCTTCTTGGTAGCCACCCTTTAAGTACTGGAACATGGTAATAAGGTCTCCCCAAAGCCTTCTTTTCTCAAGGCTGAACAAATCCAGTTTTCCCAGCCTCTCCTCATATGGCAGGTCCTCCAGTCCTCTGAGCATTCTGTGGCCCATCTCCTGTTTTTTTGAGGAAGTGATATAAACTCCAGACTGTCAACATCCCCTCCATCTCCAGCTGTACCTTAAACCAGAAACTCCTGCTTAGTTCTATTATTTGAAAATCAGTGAATACTTGCTTTCAGGAGTTACTTTATAAGTAGGTGAGAAGCTTTAGGCTTCACCTATATTCTGTCTCCATTACTACCTACGTTCAGGCCACTCCTTGCTATGTCCATTCATTATTTTTAGTGCTGTTTAGAAACAGGCACTTTTCCCCAGTCTCTATAAAAAACAATCCAAGAGCTGATGTAGGGTTCTAAATCCCACTCTACAGTAGGGATTCAAAAGTCAGGGCTAGATGTACTGAAGCATTTTTGTTGCGGCATCTAACTCCAAAGTAATCTTGCAGTTTCTCCCATCCCTTCCTTGAAATTGAATTCCATTGAAATAAGGCTGGATATCTGAAAATAAAAACTTATTTTGTCCACATGTAAGTTCTCAGATTTGTTACTGATACACTAGATGTAGAGCAGCTCAGATAAATATTGCATTTCTCAGGCCTAATCAAATTGAAATAAAAAACTGAAAATGGAGAAGTGAGTTATCACTATTTAAAACCTACTTTTGTTTCTTTTTCACTTTGAAAACAGTCAGAACATGTCCACTTATGAATAGGAGCATAGAAACAGCTTTCTGCTCCAACTTTCTTCTCAGGAAATGGACACCACTTCCCCTACAAGTGAAGGGTACAAGAGATGCTTCTATCAAGTAAATGACATGCAGATGCCTGGCACAGTAAACAAGAAGCAGCTCCAGTAGCATACTAAAGAGAATATAACAGGACTACAGAACAAAAGAAAGTTTTAGTAAGATCTCTCCTTACAAGGTTGAGATTCAAGATGGTGCAAGCATATCATAACTAGCATGTGCTGCTGCACTCAAAATGGGACCCCAATTTCTCTCAGTATTGGAACAGACAAAATACACGGATGTTATCATGCCACATTTTGAATTTTATAGCAGAAAATACTAGGTAGAGTTCAGACACTGAAACTATACATTACTGACAATTTTTTCAGTTTAATTTTGCTTCCTACACTCATGAATTTGAGTTAGGCAAAGAAAATTCTGACTACTCTTTAAAAGAAAGACAAACAAATAGTCACTAGGAAGAACTACTAAAAAATCTGATATGAACTTTCACTGCTGAATGTACAAGTCTAACATTTCATCTAGCTGCATTCTGCTGCTAGAACTACCCCAGTCACATTTCTCTTGATATAAACAGAACTTCCAAATTGTCTTACACTCCAGGTGGAAGGAGAAGAGGGGAATTCATACAAAGTACATTTTAACATTGGACACATACCTCCCTCCAGTCTTTTGTAGTCAGTTAAAAGCTGATTTATCTGTTGGACAATTTTAAAGAACTTCTTTTCATTTCTATTTGTTAACTAGCAAGGGAGGGCTAAAATTAGATCTGAAGTTTGAATTCAACTGTAATTCTAAAATGAGAAGCTGGGGAAGACAGCAAATATTTACCAACTGCCAGAGCACCCAACCTGGGCAAGAAGATGTCATAGCTCTTGACTTATGTTAGGTGACAGATGTTGTTTGTTCTGGTTAAACCAAGAGAAAAATGACATACATGCTCTTGACAGATTTTCTGGGGCAACAGCCTGAGTGAAGGAAAATAAAAGAGGTTTTTATGGGTTGCATAGAGCTACATGCAAATGTGAATAAAATAGTTGGACTGCTCATAACTGAGCCCTAATTCATTAAAAAAGAGAGATCTTCAACGTGGAAACTGATTTTTGCAGTGGTGTGCTAGAAGAGAAGAAAACTGGCATGCAAGGGAATGATTATGTTTCAGGTTAAAGACACCTAGAAGTAGCTACATGTGTACACGTTAACATCAGGACTTCTGCAAAATGGTTTTCAAATGACAAGGACCTGACATGTCTAAAAGTAAAGGGAAAAGCTACTTTTCCAGGGCAAGATGAATGTCCTGGACATAGTCATATTCTACTCCAAGTTTTTTACACCTTCATCTCTGCATCCAGAAACCAAGAAATCAAGTTTAACGTCTGTAAAGTGACAGACTGGCTTAAAAAGGACTTTGGTGTGAATATATTGTATAATATTGTACTATCACAGTACAATAAAAATGGATTAACACAATAATGGCAAATTTAAGAGATGACATTAACATCATGGGGAAAAGCAATCTTAACTGTTTTTCATAGCAGCCCCACCATATTAAATGCAGTATATTTAGCTCTAAGACTCTCATTTTCAGAAATATAATGGATTTAAAATGCTGAAGGAGGAAAACAGAACATTGCACTTCAGATTTCAAAGTGGACATACTGAACCTTGAAATCAGATGCTAACTAAACTGCAACGATCATTAAATATTACAAACAACTTAACCAAGAAGGCTGTGGAAATATCACCTCAAGTAATTTAAAAAATAATTTGATAGCTTCTTACGCTACGCTTTAGCACATTTTGAAAGATAAATTTTACAGCCTATATGACAGTACTATGAGATTCCACTCACGCTTCATTATTTTACTTGCATCTGGTTTTTAAGTTTGTGAATGAAACATCCACCATTTTTCGATGCTGCCTTCATATAAGAAGCCTGTGCTGTCTTTAGCCTTCCTGAAGTCTACAGCTACACATCAAGATGCTGATTATAAATGTACTGCCTACTTCAGTCCTAGATATTAGAGTTCATACCTTGACCATACCAGAAGTGAGATGATCTGGATACACTAGAAGCCTAAATCACTATTGCAATTAACACTTTGTATCTATGCTTTACTCAATCTTTCCAAGTGCTTCGAAGATTTTCGCCAAGGAAGGACTGGCAGACTTGTTTTTGGAATAATGAATGCATTAGTATTATGCCACAGCACAGAGTGAAGTAGGATTTGCTTTGTATACCTGCTGAGATCACAGGAGTACTTAATCTAATCCATTCTCTTTTACTAAAGAGTCCTTGGACAGCAGTTGGCAGCTTTGCCCACCTGCTCTAAGCCGGGTTTAGTAAGAAGACCTAATTACTTTGGCTTTACTCCTGAGAATATAATTTTAATACTACAACATGTGGACGAAACCTCAGTGTCAAATGTCGTAAGAGAAATTCTCTCTTTTAAGTTCTACAAAGACATACTATCACTCTGAACGCAGCGAGAAACCATGGCTGAATGTGCCTTTCAGGTGGCACTAGGAGGAAGAACTTAATAGAAGTTTTTGTAGTTGCACTGACTTGTATTTACCACATCACAGTGCCAAACTTCGTCAGGTTGTTGAAACCTTTAAGTACTCAAAAGCAGATCTGTTCAAAGCAGAGATCAGTCAGTTTACACTAGCAGATTTGAAGAATGAATAAGAGAAATTCAAAAGTTAAAACAGCTATGAGTAGAAGCCTATATTCATCTTAATAAAAACATGTTACTTCATAAAAACGGTTCATAAAATTGTACCATAAAGTGTAAGAATGTATTACCTTTTTTAGCCAGAAGACACTTTTAAGAAAAGAAACTGTCTGGAAACAAACATATCTGTTCAACAGAAAGGACCAAGCAGAGGCTTTCTTCAGAAAGGTAGAATTAGGATTTACAAGTAGCAACCAGTACTAAAAAACAGAGACTGCACAATGTGATTCTGCCTGTTAAACTAAAAACCAAGTCATATAGATCAGACTGTTTTAGCATTAAATCTTTTTCCTTTTTAGCTTCAGAACTCTATACAATGAAATTGACAGTTTCTGAGCAAAGATTAAGTCTGCTGAATTGAGTTTGCTTGAATACAGACACTTTAATCTCAACTACAAACCACAACCTGTCATGTTCCTGTTAACACAGCCCGATATTAGAAATTCCATGATAAAAAAGGCAAGACCACTGATTCAGTGTCACTTTACCCCAGGCTCCTGTCCTCCCTGAGGACTGTCTCCATGCATCAAAAGACACAGAGCTTTAGAACTTAATCTTTAAATTATGAGTGTTTGTCTTCAATATCTATTAATGAGTTCTTAGGATTTTAAGAAAAAGGTTGGTTATAAACAACTAAAGAACATGATGGATTAAGACTTCTGAAATGCATTATTTTTAATATTTCTTTACTTCTTTTGACTTGCTTTATTTTAGGACTGCCAGCTTAGTTAAAAAAAAAAAAAAAAAAAAAGTGTCTTTTTAAGGGTCTCAATTATTTTGGAACAGAGTTCTTGCACTAGTCCGGGAACTAGGGGTCCTGTTGGGGTCAGTACATGGTCAGAACTCCACTAAATCAAGAAAAACTGAGCTGGAAACAGCTTCACCAAGGGCTGGAAAAAACCAAACAAACCCTCTTGCTGCCTTCCAGACCAACCCGCAATACATGAGTTTGGTTATGCTATTGCATACAAAATTTCAGGTCCCTATGATGGTTACATATGTTAAGAAAGAGTTAAGATTTGTTCAATGATTTGACTTCCTCTTCAGTAAAACACACTTCTACATATTTGAAGTCATGACTAATTTAAAATATTGTGCAGCATACAAACAGAAATAGATCTGTATTATCCTCTGTCCTTCCAAAAACTGAACAGAACTTCAAAGCCAGTTTCCTTATACTTAATTCTAAAAAAATTTGGAAGGACCTGAAATATTGGAGAAAATACTTTAATCATAGAACTGATTACAAGGCTGTGCTTCTTGTTAGTTCAAGGAATACAGCATGCAATATACATTCAAATAGCAAACAGCTACAATGGACAAGACACAACAAACAAAGCACTTTTAAAGCTAAAAAAGTGACTTGATACGGGTTAGCGATATTAAAATATCAGTGAAGATGATACTTTTCGGTTGCAATTGGAAAAACACATTAAGAACTTGTGGAAACAGATAAGATTATTCTTTCAATTTTAACGTGCTTATAAGTTAATTTCCTAAGGACATGGAAATTGCTCTTAATATTGAGGTTCTGCTTTTTAAATTTTATCTTCTTCTGGTCACTATATTACCAGTAGGAAAAATCTTCTGAAAGAAGGCAAAAACCTTACCTCTAAGAAATTTGCCCAAATAAATGAAATGAAGGGTAGAGCACCTCAATTCTGTTCCTGAATTTATTATACAAACTGATTTTAATACAAAGCTTTAATACTTTTAAGTATATTCTGACTTTCTTTATTAATTCTGTTATACAGAACCCTTAATGTGCTAGCTAACAAGAAAAATTAAAAACCGTAAGGGGATATTTGCTTTACAACTTTTAGATATTTAACACTTAATCGTACTGCAAGCAGAAAGGGTTAAGCTTCTTCCAAGCAAAAACTGAGACCATTTGCGTTTGGACACATTCTTCAAAGATATAACAAACATAAAATTAGTCACCTAAAACATGAAGGTACATATACACTATTTCCCTTGCTGTATTTTTATAACCTTTGCTAAGTTTTCTCATAAAGTCCGTGTTTTAGTTCTAGTCAGAAGCTCAATGTTTATTTCATCCCAGTTCTTCAATTCATATCTCAAGCATCTAACAATACTGGAGGTATTCAAAAGACATGTAGGTGGAGTGCTCAGGGACATGGTTTAGTGGGGAACTTGGCAGTGTTACGTTAAAAGTTGCACTTGATCTTAAAAGGTCTTTTCCAACCAAAACGATTCTATGATTCTATGACAAGAAAAAAGAGAACAGCATAGAAAAGACACTGAACATTCATCTTCCCACAGAGTCCCCAAAACTGCAGACGATATTAAAGAGTTGTAACACTGAATCTAGACCTGGAGAAGAGAGTAAGTTCACTTTTTAAGGAAACTCAAGCACCAACTGCACAGGGTGATGTAACATCTAGAACACAAGATTTAACAGCGGAATTGATCCAAAGAGCGCCTATGGTCAATAAAATAGTAAGTTTATCACTGAAGACCTAATTCCAAGAAAGAGGTATTTCAAATGCCTTTCAGCGACAGCAGTCAGGATTGCCTGAAAAAGCAGGCAGCATTGAGAACTGTGAAGGTATAGCACCTACAAAAATGGTCAGAAACTGCAACTTCATCTGGAACCTGAGGACTGCTCCTCAGATACAGTTGCCTTACACTTTCAGTGATGACAACGAGTTGAAGTTCTAGCATTTGTTTGGACTTTGCCAGACCAGTGGGAGGTTTTCTAAATTCGTGGCACTCCTGAAACTGGAAAGATATTTATGAGATAAAGCTCAGTAAATTTCACTCATTAATGTGTTCAGATGGATAAAGTTGTAACTGTCAACATTTTATCTTGGATTAAGAGAAAAGGAACCAGACACAGGCATAGAAGTAGTAATTAAATTCCAAGGTTGCACATTAAGATTTGATTTCCTTTACAAAATAACCCTTTCCAAATAAATAGCAAGATCAATAATTATACCAGGATAGAAACAGCTTTACCTAGGTGTCTTTATGGAATATCATTGTTCATGTCTTCTTACACTTAGGCCTAAATTCAAGAAGTTTTTAAGAAGATTTTAAAGAAAAAATGTTAAGACTAAATGAATAAAGTAAACCAAAAGTTAACCCTTTCTTACCAGCAGGACTTATGCGAATCCTTATATTGCACTGGACTAACGGTGCTTTGGGATTATTTTGGTCTACGCCAGAGTCCTTCTGCATTCTTCCAATGAGACCATGCATCACTTCACTGAACATGCCGTCCCCACCAACACAAACAACACTGCCAGGAAACACAAATTAGAATGCACACTAACAGTCAATAAACAACACAGCAAGTGTTTTACTTAGGGCATGCACTGGGCACATCAAAAATAGTTGTTCTATTCTCCTCTCCTTTTTACAGAATATTGTAGCCCATGGTCAACTTGGCAGAAAAAAAGCAAAAGCAGAAAAAAATAAAAGCTACACAACTGCAAATGCATCTAGACATGTTTAATGTTAGAAAAAAACGTTGCAATTTAACCTAGGAAAAAAGTGTATCCTCTGTTGCTACGTGCAGACAGACAAGTATTAGTGGAACTTCACTACACAAGGAAAACACCGAACAGGACCGTACATACAGCTTTCTAAGTCAACAAAATGAAAATAAGGTACCTTTACTAAAATGGGAGAAGTTAGTTTATATTCGTGGCTTCAGGCAGAAGTATATCTTACACTATTAATTCAATAGAAAAGTACATGCTTGCATGCTCTATTTGAACATGCAGAGAGGCCAAAGACAGAAGTCATGTATAGCTACATAACCATTCATAATGAAACAGAGCTCTAAATGTTACCAGATGCAAAACTTTGTTTTGCAAACTTAATTTAGGTCAGAGCTGGTACAGCAGCTACACAGATCCTCAATATGTTAAAGCTCAGCAGAGAATCCACAGCCAAGCAAATACTAGGAAGTAAAAAACTATTTTATAGTAGTATACATTTAATGCACGTTAATCAAACGCACACCCCGAACTCTATAAGCATAAATATCTTTTAACTGAAAAGTTAATTCAAATACACTTTAAAGGAATACATGACAAATCCAAAGTTATGTATCTAATACTTGTTCAGGAATATTTACTACTATGTCTAGCAATCATTTCCAATGCATAAACTAATACTTATTCTTCTACATAGTCCACAACAGATACTGCAGAATGAGCACTTATTTCATAGGCCAAGTTAATTTATTTAATTTTTAAGTATTGATTATTTAAATTTACTTATTAATGTATTTTCAGCAGAAGGAAAGCTTGAAAAAACAGTCACTTTTTTATTAATATAGAGGACAGCCTTAAAAATATACACCGTCCCACTCAAAGTCAAGGCAGAAGAGAATGGGAGAGCAGGGAGAAAAGGATGTTTAGTTTTTATATTTATCTCTTCATAGGTTAGCTACTTTATTCCTCAATTTTAGCCTGTCTCATCTTTCTCTGCAGACTCTAAGAAAAAGATTAAGTGGACAAAAATTTCCACATTGGCTCAAGGTCAATGCTGTCAGGGTTGTGTTCTATTTATAAAAATACTGTAGCTGGGCTTAGAGGTAACAGTGATATGAAGGTCTATACATATCAAGGTCAAATACAGAGATAAAGAACTTCACATACAGTATCAGCAAGATCCACTTAAATGCAAACGTCAGATGTGTGAGTCACACATGTAAAGCCCTCAGTGAATGAAGAACTACTGTAAGAGATCTTAGGGCATTTCTTACATTTCAGGTTTATTTTTCTAATGAAATAGCATTTTACTTTTTGGATGGAGTACAGTAGTAAACTACACCTGCTAAAGGACAAGAGACCCTTCTAATCTCAACCATTCTGTGAACTAAATCAAGAACTAGGAGAATAAAACAATGTGAAATTGTTTAATAAGAGGTTGTGCAAGAGGCGTATGGATAAGGAAGAAGAGGGATTCATATGTTACATTTATACTAACCATGATAATTACTTGAACAATCTTACAGCATGCTCTGGTTGTTCTGCACAATGATGTATAAAAACCTGCCACACTGTAACTGAATGAATACAGTAACTGTCTTTAAAGAGAAGCTGTTCTATCACTGAACTACTAGATTAGAACACTCACCATAAGAAATTCTTATAAGGGGAAATGTGAAGAACAAATGGTAACAAGAGGTTTATTTAAACTGTCTCATGTAAATACACTTGTAAAGCAGTGGAACAGTTATCATTAAGAATCCTGTATCTAGATCTAAATTTACAGGCATGACTTTTCCAAGTAGGGGACCTGGAGATTAAATGAAGAATCTCATCACTGAATGAAGGGACAGCCACTTTCGAGAACTGACTGAAGAGGACAGGTGAACCATTAGATGTAGAAACCCAAATAAGCTTTTCCTATGTATGTGAGAAGAGTCTATCAAACTTGAAGAAAAGCACACATTTATGCAGCTCAACCATTTTTAAAATCTTCCATGTAACCATGTAATCTGTTATTTAAAAAGTAGTGTTAATACAGTAACTCCTTCCTAGCATTACTGTTCACCACAGAAACAAACTTGTACATGGAGCTTGGAAAAACATGTTGCAGTTCTCAATGGTAACTGCCATTAAGGCCCAGTCTGGGGCAAAAACAGCCATGGGATTCTACGAAGATGCAGTTCTCTGGCCAACTGTGTAGCTCAGTCATGTTAGAGAGAAAACAAAAAAACTCCACTAAAGAAAAAAAAATATTAAAAAATATGTATTTCTATGATAAGAGACTGTTTGAAACTACCAAAAACACTTCAGATACCACTACCATTGGTCACTGACACTTGTAAAAAATAATTTGCTAGGAGTGGACACAGGCTCATTTGCTTCCCTTTTCTGCTTTGTATTGGACTTTCATCAACATTCAGTATTATCTATTTCAAATCAGTTTAGTCAACGGAAAAAATCTTTATCTAGGTTTTCCTAGGATTCTAGTTTCCCTTGCACTTCTGTGAAATAAAAAAAAGCCAGTTTAGTCAGAACTGCTTATTTAAAGCCAACTCATTTTAAAGCAGGTGAAGTCTAAGAACTCAATCTGTCAATGTAGTTTCTTACTACCACAATTTGTCAACATCACGGCCTCAATATATACAATGCATATAGACCTGCTCCCCTAGCAAAAGTAACCTGAAAAGATAGAAACCATTTTATATTTGCCACTTACCATTTAAAATGTACCCATCAACAAGCACAAGAAGACACTGCTTTAAAATACTGCAGTTATGAGAGTTTATCTGCATCGGTTCTGCAAACATTTTAATGATTTTGCAGTCCTGTAACTTGTTTCATATCATGAACTGGAAACCAGAATGACTGGCTTATTTATTAAAATATTCTACACGTACAGCAGAATAATAGAATGCAATTTCACCATTGTTAGGCCTTCTTTTAAAAGAGTAATTCCACAACAGAACAAATACCAAATGTAGCCATTATTTGAAAAGTCCCATGTACCTGAAACATTTCTTAACAGTCCATGGTTTTTACACACAGGCTGAAGGGAACCAATGCTGTGTTCTGCACTCACATATATGTGGAGATCACCTACATGGCAAAACATTCCAAGGCAGCTTTCAAGCTGTCACAGAATGCTCAGCCTTTGGATGGGCAAAATTAATATTACATTCATCTTGTGAACACTAATCTCACACAAACCTTGTTAAACTCTACTTGAATATACTGTGTGTTGAACAGGTTTACTGAAACAATTTAGTTTTACTAAAAATGGTTCTAAATGTGGATCTCTTGTGTAAAGGAATATGCCCCCAAACTTTCAGCTGTTGCAGTTCTTGTATCAGCACTGAAGTCTTCTATTTCAAATTAAAGATAAGAGACAGATTATAGTGTTATCAGCTATAAAAGAAAAAAAAAAAAGCAAGTGAAGTTACTTACCCATCATATTTATTAATATTAACTTCAAATAAATTGTCCTTAGCATGGTTAGCATGTTCAGTTACTATAGAGAAATAAACACATTAAAAATTACTATGATAAAAATACTATTACAAAATTGTATATGAAATACAATTAAAAATATGTTATTATGAATTAATAATGATTCTATTAGCAGTGAACCATAGAACAGCCTGCCCATATAACAAGTTTTTATGCCAAGGGATAAACTGAAAAAGACACACACTGCATTATATATGGGAAAAAAAAACACTAAAGAACTGTACAAATGAAAAAGTGGTTTTAACAGCAAAACTGAGAGAAGAATGAAATACAGTATCTTATGAATGAAGAGCTCAAACAGCTCAGAAGTACCAGAAGTCTTAGTATAGTAAGCAGAAAACTGATATAAGGTCATGATTTATCTGGCTACATGTGCTTTAATCAGAAAACATTCCTTCTACAACTTAAATTAATTTCCTTAATAAAAAAATGTAAGTAACAGAAAGAACCTAAGCAACTCAGATGTTTTAATGAGTTCACAATGCATTTATTAAGAAATTAAAATATTACTCACTAACAACATCAGTGGAGATAGAAGCCAGACTGAAGAGTGGAGCAACTTTCTGCTCATAAATCCTCTTTCCTTGTCGTTTTCCTCCATAGGGATTAATATACACAAGTAACTGCTTTGGTCTAGACTCTGCAGTAAGGAAAAATATTATAGTATGCTGCTCTTGTACTAAAACAAAACAAACCTGTAAACAATGAAGTAACACAGCACACATGCCTTTCATACCTCTTCATTAACTGTAACTCTTTATCAAAGAGCTATAAAAACTTGCTTCATTTATCCTCTTTATTATACTGAGGATACTGACAGTATTAAATTAGTAATAAGACAGCAGGTGAAATTCAGAATAATTTCATCTGACACCATGTCTCTCATTTGTATTATTCTTGCTGAACCTTCCTGTTGAGACATTAGTTTAACAGGCACATAAAAGACAAAACAAGGGCAGCAACAGGAAAGACACTTTTAAGTGATGCATACGTAGAAATACTTTTACATTAATTTATTTAAACAATGTTCCTCCTTTCTTAGCAGTTAAAACACATTTCCTTTCTGTGCTAAAAACACAATAAGAACACCTCACAAAAGTACATGCTGCACAGCAAGTGCTTGCCCTACAGCAGAGCCCCTCCCTCCCTGAGAAAACACCTTTGATGCTACCATCTCAAGTTTGTTCAAGTAGTAATGGATTTACATTTGAGTTAGCAATGAAGACAATTATTATACCTCTGTACTAACAGATACACAAAACAGTAATGCTAGCTGTACCTAGAGGGCCTTCCTTTTTTGTATAGCACACTAAGATCTGTTAAAGCGCTTGCCCTTCCTCTAGTGGCATTCTAAATTATTATTTTTAATGGAGAGAGTAAACAGAGTCATTAGATCAGCACTAGACTGTTTTAATGATTTAAAGCTGCCACACACCCAAAGCACTATTCACCTTCTCCAAGAACCTATTACCTTTTCTGAAATAGTTTGTGACTGATACAAGGAACACATACACCCAAATGGAGACAACTACCCAGGCCACAGCTCTCACAAATGGCCTGAATGGGCCCGCAAACCGTATTTTTTGAAATATGCTATTGAAAGCCAGATACCTCACATACACAAAATAAAAAAAATTGTGAGATGCATGCTTCCAATGACTGTTCCATTTTTATTCTGTGAGTCTTAAGTACATGCTTGAGTTGCATCATAGGTGTACTTGTATCCAGTCCCATCTCCAGCTGTCTCTCAGATGGACCCCAGACCTTCACTATACACAATTTATCTCCAGTGCTGCCTCCAGCTTCATCTCCTGCTGCTCCTGTCTGGTCTTGCTGGATGGACTTGATTACTTTATCTCATCTGTGCTGTTAACAGGACCTGCTGCTACCCCCATCCCTGCTATGCCCACCCTGCTCAGATACAGCAGGACTGCATCCTGGTTGGTGAGGGCACTGCCTGTGCTATGGTAATCCTTGACCTCCCTTCTGTCATGGAGCTGCTCTCTTCCTCCCACTCCCCAGCATCTATCAAGGTATCTCTTTATCCTGTTTTGAGTCAGGATATTTTAAATTTTTTAAAATTTTACTTTTCAGTTAAGTCTCTTCTCAGCAACTGCACTTACTGAAATTAACAGCATGCTTTCCACACAGCTTCTGCTGCTAGGGGTGATAATGTCCAGTTTATAGTTATTCGGAAGTAATAGTATGAGTGGTTTGTAGAAAGGCTCTTGCTTATACTAACTCCCTCAGAACCCAAGGTCACTGCATGGGTCTGCTATAATACATGACAGAAATGAAAGGGAGGAAAAGGGGCCACACCTGTAACGTTCCTGTGGGGAGGAGTGGACTGAACAGGTGATCCAAAACTAACCAAAGTATGGCATAATACATGTCATATTCAGTATAAAGCCGAGGGAAGACGAGGGTCAAGCATCCTGAAAGGATTCCATCCACTCCTCTGCCTTCAATCTCAATCCATGCACTCCTGAATACAATTACTGTCTGTCCCTGACTCCAGGAGTCCAGTCTGGGATTTTCCCAGGGCCTGCCCTGTAGACTTAGTGGCGACGTGTTATCAGGGGTGGAGCTTTTGTATATATTTGTGTATATTTCACTATTTTCTTTTTAATCATTATTGTTTCATTAAAACTGTTTTGTTTAGTTGCCAACCCGCAAGTTTCTCTCCCTTATTCTCTTTCCTTTCCTCCTCTGGGAAGTGAGAGGGGTTAATAGAGAGCATCTGTCATTTGTTTAACAGCCAGCCCAGCCTTGAACCATGACACCTTCAAGAGTAATTGCTGCAAAACTGCCTTCCAAGAAGTAGGTGTCCAAGAGCCTCAGAAATTATTAATAGGAACTCTTACTATAAAAGACACATTGTTAACGACAATGACTGGAACGGTGAGACAGACACACAAAAAGCCACCTATAAATCTTACAATTGCTACAATCCTTGTCCTGAGGTCTCTAGAGTACCTCAGATCTCTGAAGTTACATCTGCCCTTTACTTTCTCCAAAGCTACAATAATTTAAAGCCTCTGCTAAGCTTCTAACATGTCCTCACCTTTTGAAAAAAATTTACACCTGAGCAGAATTATAAGACACCTATAGTCCTTACTGATTGGAGGAAAACAGTACAATTCAGCAAATATGTGAGATACCAAAATAGAGATAAGAAGAATGAGGCACTTCAGCTCTCAACTCTCCCAACTTTTGAGTATAAGCTGCTTTTAAGAGTTCAAAAAAGCAGATATATCAAAATAATATAGATTGACATACAGGCCTGTAAAATCATGCTGCAAATGTTGGAGTTTAGTCAAACTTACTCTGCATTTCAAGTAATTCTTTCAGCGCCTGTATCCATTGATTACACAAGTGCTCATCAACACACCAAAACGTCACATCCCTGCACCGCCAGCGGTGATTTCGAGATTTCTTCACATAATACACTATTGAAATAAATTTTTAAAAGAGGCACAATGAGACAGTTCTGTGAAATTACAACGCAGATATCACCAGAACATGAACTTAGAAAAAAAGTGGTAGCTAACCCCCACTACCTGTATTTGCAAATGACAGAAGCTTTCAGAGTCTGAACAGAACATCTGTAAAATACAAAATGAAAACATTGCTCTGGAACATTACCTTACCAAAAACATAAACTTACCTTTAAACCAAACACAACCCATTTTCTATCAACAGATTATAGACATACAAAAGCTCACTGAGCTTCTATATTATTTTATCTGTATTAAAGTTTGAAAATGTCTACATAACGCAAAATGCTATAAGCTTAGGAGGGTAAGCCAAACCCTCACATAGGCTCCCAAGTAACCAAAAGGGTGAATTTCATTTCATAAACCTGAAATTGGAGAAAATTTATTGTGAGTAAAGAACTAGGCTGGTGAGACAAGAAGCACCCTTACTTTACCAGCTCCACTATCGCTAATCATTGTTACTGAAGGACTAAATGTGAAGAAAGTCATAGAATGGTTTGGGTTGGGACCTTAAAGATCATGTAGTTCCAACCCGCCTGCATGGGCAGGGACACCTCCCACTAGATCAGTTTGCTCAGAGCCCCATCCAACCTGGTCTTGAAGACTTCCAGGGAGGGGGCATCCACACCTTCCCCAGACAACCTGTTCCAGTGTTTCACCACCCACACACTGAAGAATTTCCTCCTAATGTCTAACCTAAATATCCCCTCTTCCAGTTTTGTTCCATTACTTCTTGTCCTCTCACTACAAGCCCTTGTAAAAAGTCCCTCCACAAGCTATCTTGTAGGCCCCCTTCAGTAACTGGAAGGCTGCTATAAGAACTCCCTGGAGCCTTCTCTTCTCCAGGCCAAACAACTCCAACTCTTTCAGCCTCTCTTCACAGGAGAGGTGCTCCAGCCCTCTGATCACCTTTGTGCCCTTCTCTGGACTTTCCCTAGGAGATCCATGTCCCTATAATTTGGGGGCTCCAGAACTGGACACAGTACTTCAGGTGGGCTCTCACAAGAGTAAAGGGGGAGAATCACGTCCCTTGACCTGATGGCCATACTTGTTTTGATGCAGCCCAGGACATAGCTGGCTTTCTGGGTTGCAAACGCACATTGCTGGCTCATGTTGAGCTTCTCCTCCACCATCTTCTCAAAGTCCTTCTCCTCTGGACTGTTTTTCATACACAACACACAAAATTTGTCATGGAAACAACCATATTTGCCCCAGGCTTTGCATCAGAGAAGCCACCACTCGTTCCCCAAAATAAATACATTTATTTATGATACTTTGCTTTAAGAATGCAGTGAATAATACAAAGAACCTTTACATGGACACATTCCGATAGTCAGGAATAACCTTAAAAAACCCAAATGTTTAGGACCCATTTTTCCAGCCTCTCTCTTGAATTTCTTGTCAAGTAGTAGAAAGTAAGGGTCCTACTGCAGTCACTCAGCAGCAGAAACATAAGACAATAGTTAAGACTTCATTAAATAGCTGCACACAGTATGTGTTCTTAAAGGAAGGGTTTTAATCACCACAATAAGGACCTTTACATGTAAGCTAGATTTTTCCTGGGTTGGCTGGTTTGTTTGTTCTCATGGTTTCTTTAGTTGGGGTGGGGTTTTTTGTTGGTTTTTTGTAGTTTCCTTTTTTAAAATGCATAATTTCTGGTTAAAATTTCTGAAGATTCCTTCTGAGTCTACCCTAAGCTTCCTCCAGCAAAGTAACTAGCACAGGCATCTGACACTGTATTTGCCTTACCTGTGAAAGCATGTGGCTTTGCCATTTTTTGCCATTTCCCAATATTACGCTGTTTTTTGTTCAGTTCAGCTTCTTCTATAGCAATGATCTCAGAGGTTGGTACAAAGCAGTTTTCTGTAAAAAGACAAGATCCTATATATTAACATCTTCAAACAGCACCACAATGATTATTTCAATGCATAACACAATATAGATGTACAATTACAGTAGTTGCTCAATAAGCACAACCAAGAGTATAAGTAAAAATTTGCTGAATATTTTCAATTTCCTTCTGCCTTTAGTCAAAGCACCTAATGCGTAACCACCTACAAATTACCTCAAATGATATTTTAAATGTATATGATTTCTCAGAAAATTAGGCATTCTGAGTATAAAAACATTTCTGCATGAAGCCAAAATCCAGCAACATTGGTTTCAGAGTAATGAAACTGCCCTTTCAATGACAACTAGTCCAGATATTTGACAGTGAATAGCACAAGTTATGTTAAAGAATGTGCAACTAAATCTAATGTAGAGAGACTACAGAAACTATTTGTTATTCTCAAGTAAGTAGCCGGCTTATAAAAGAAGGGCATTCACATGAATTTTTAAGACTTTAAATCCCACTAAGCTTTTAAACTTCAGGATCTCCAAAGAAGAAAATTCTAGACATTATGTCTATGCACTGTTGACTATATTCCCCTTGTATCAAATCCCAAACTATTGTTTTTCAGAATTAAAGGTCTCTTGCTCTTAACACTAAGAATTTCCTTCACCCTCACTCTTTTTTCTTTTCTAGACACTCAGTCTTCTTAACTCCTTTCAAATTCAGGATTTGGTCTCATATTCATTACTAATTTCAAAATTTCTCTGCTTTTACCTTATCTCAAAAGAAAAAGTGGACTGAAAATGCATACTTTGTATTATGTACAAGCAAGAGCTCTGTATTTATACACACACATATGTAAAACATTTAATGACATAAGATTGTATTATTAAACTTATTTTATAAGAGGTGATATTTTAATATACTTGCTTGTCTCATATATTGATAAATAGAGAGAGAGATACAGAGAGATAACAGAGAGATATTAAAGAGATATATTAAACTCTACCTACAAACATTAATAGTGTTGCTGGGTTTTACCCTATATTTCATCTTTCTTACTATTTTGCAGAAGTACAATGGAATTTTCCTGAACTCCTTAAAGTGGTGACTACACTTCATTTGCCAGTGGTTCAATTCTTTTTTTCCCCATCTTATTTATTTTAGTCAACAGAGTTGTTACCAATTGTTATCTCCTGGACTACTCACACAAAGGTTTTTTTCTTTTACAGGTCTTTCAATATTCTACATCAGGGCTTTTATCTTCCCAGAGGTTTTTAGCTTGATTACAAAGAACCATAGCCTCCAAACTTTACACTGAAGTATTTTAGGAACCTGACCATATTTGAATGTTTTATCTACTTACAAAACAAATTTTGGCTTAAAATAATTGCATTTACTATATTTAAAGGCACGATGGATAAATGCAGCAGTCACAGAATGTCTTTATAAAGATCCAACAGGAGAGACAAACTCATTATAAACACTTGACTTGCATATAGATACAGATATCATACATATACACATAAGTATTTAATATTGGACACTAATAGTTAATTGGTCATTCTAACATTCAGAGAAAACATCTACTATGGGATTGCAATATGATTAACCACCTATTTATTTATCCAAGTAAGAAAATACAGAACACAGATGGACCAATAAATTAAGGAAAAGAAGCATGTTCTTTAACCTTTCTTTGTCAGAACTGTTTTTACTTCTCATTTTTCTACTGGCTATGCCACCTGCCCATAGGTCAGAGTGTGACAGAAAAGCCTGCTGCATTTTTAAAGACTGCACTTAAGTGGTAACGATCACTGAAAGCATATCCTTGAAGTATAGATTTTAGCACATATTACACAGCTTATATTAACAAACCTAGGCCTTGAAACCACTTCTACTAAACTCTCCTAATTCTTCAGATGTGCTTTCCCTCAGACAGTCACATGACTGGAAGTTCTGCCTTTCCAGCAAATCTCTTCATAGATGCAGCAAAAAAACTAAGAGTAAATGTTTTAGTGATAGAGGTGCCTTTTTTTATCTTAAGCCACAATGTTACACATTTGAAACAAACAAGATTCCAGGGGGGTGGGGAGAAGTGAAAAAAAGAAATAAAAGCTCAAAAAATAAAGTGGTCCCACCTTCCCTCTGTAAATCTTCAAGTTTGGTAAAAGTCTGAGAAGTTTCTGTGCTATGAATATCAGCTACGCCAACTGCAGCCCTCAATACCACTTGGCACTGTATAAGCAACTCCACGGCTTTGAGAAGTACACTCCAATCTTAAGTCACTCAAAGCCACAAATTACCTAATACAGTAATTGCAGACAGCCAGAAAAATGCAAAGCTGTCTCAAATACAAGCATGTTATTCAGAACATTTCCTATAGCATGTAAAAACAAATCTGAATGCAGTGGTGTGTCTGAATAGAGCTCAAGAATTTCTATCAGTCCAAAAATGACTCTATCACTATTCAACTTAGTATTATAGAGTATATTGTTTAATCAGAAAGCAAATCAACTAGTAGTCCCCACCCTAACCCCATTTCCCCAGGAGGGAGAAGTTTCCATTGCAAAGTAATCAGAGGCCTTCAATACAAGCAGCACCCTGCTCCTACAAACACAATGTCCTCATCTCCCATTTAATCACCAAAACCTGCCCCATAAAAATAATTAGAAGGTCTATCCTGTTCTGTTTTAAAAGGTCAACAAGGTTCACATATATAGTGACTATAGTCCTTTCCCACATCTACTTCTGTAGCATTTACCCTATTATTAAGTAGCACAAGCCACTTATTTCACTGATTTAGCATAGCATAAAGCCCTTTCATCTTTATGAGTTCTCAAAAAAAACATGGAAAACATTATTGCCACAACAACAAAAGGTACTTACACCAGTACTACTAGATCCAAATTAATGAAAACCACTTAACTGTGGGCTCAGACCATACCAAAGAATTTCATTTGAGTACAATATACTCAAAGAAGTAGAACACAACTGCTATTACACAAAATTCCAGGCAAATTACCATGACTTTTTCAACATGCACATCTGGATTCAAGAGACTGAATTTCAAGTTAAGAAATAACAAAGGGCATACCAATTTTCTTAAGCTTAATCTCAAAGATCTTCAAATCTGTATGTTTTCATGTTTCACCTTGTTCAATGTCAAGCACACATGACACGCTAAAGACAATGAGTTTCTTAACCAGAGCAGCTGGATGAAGGGGTATGGGAAAGAAAAAAAAAAAGAAAATTACAAACAAAACACTTAATGGGCAGGTGACAGTTTTCCCAGTACATTGGCTGTGCCAGTCATCACCCGTTCAGGGTCACAGTGCTCTTACAGCTTTAAAAGACACTTCCCTGAAGTGCAGACTGACAAATGAGCAAAATACTGTGTTAGATGCATACTACTTTTCCCCCGCACTAAGCAAGAGGAGAAAAAATCTCAGGTAAGCACACTAACAGAGCACTCTCTTTGTGAATAATGCAGCTGTCAGTTGAGAAGCGTGTTCTTCTGTGTTAAGAAAGGTTTTTTGGTGTCATCACTGTCTGTCACTCCCACTGCCTCAGGAAGTTTATAAGCAAACATTCCCGAGTTCATAAGGAAACTCACTCACAACCCCAGTCAAGATGTGTTCATTCATCACTGCCAGCTCTGCATCCTACTGGCCAAATTCCTCCCCCAAAAATGAGTTACCTCAAAGCAAGACAGATTTGCAAAAGCATAAAACGTCGTTGCTCATAGCATTTGATTTATTCTTAAAATTCAGCTCAGGTCCATGGACAGAGTACCATGTAAAATGAATTTAAATTATTAATATACTCCTGTGTCTTAAAAATACTATCAATAAAAAGCTGGGCTGCAGATTTAAAGCAAGTACTTTTCAGTCACTTCGAAAATTAATTTACTGTTCTATACCACACCAACAGTAAGTTGCCCTAAGTTTCAGCTCTGCCTTCACCTAAAAGGAAGAAAATAAGAACATTTTCTGTCAGAAGGCACACTGCACTGTATTGATCATACCCTACAGAAAGCTGTGTCTAACAAAGACCAGAATAAGAAAAGATGGTGGATAGGGATATTGAGCAGAATTACAGAGAATTCAATTCCTGGGGGAGGGGGAAGAAAAAAGGTTGTCATGACTAAATGATTTAATTCAAAACTGTGGAAGAGTCACAGAAACAGCTGGAGGCCATGATCTCACAAGAAACAGTCATGTATAGGAAAGCTGGCTTTTTTTTAAATTAAATTTTCAAGCAATTCATAAGCTCAGAGACAACAGGTCAGTTCCTACTATGATCACAGTTGCTATTTCAAATCACAAATCTGAATTTGAATCAAAACACAGCAATTTGAACTTGGATCAGTTTGCCTATTTAAACTGTACTACTGAATGTTCTCCCTTTTTTTTTTTTAAATCTCCAAATTAAATGTTTTCAACTCAACTATAATTATTTCAATGGTAAAGCCTGAAATAAGATACCCTTCTTCATCTTAAGAGAAAAAAAACCCTCAACATAAAAGAGGTGTATGCTGAAAAACGTGTTGTTTAACGTGGCCTGCATCTATATTTAGATAATGTGTCTTCCAGAAGACGACACATTCCAAAGAAACAATGCTGTCTAGAGCTATTATTTCCTGTATCTTACCAGCTCAATGTAGCCAGTAGAACTGCCTAGATTTTCTCTAGGCCGATTTCTACAAATGCACATCGCAAAATTGGAAATGACGGATGAAAAAAACATTACTATGGATGTGTCAACGCAGCGCAGGTGCTAGACAGAACTTATTTCCAAGCAGGCCCACATCTGGTGTCTCGGTACTGTGTTTTCAAACTGAGCATTCCTGGAATCAACAACATCAGAATGGCATCAGTCTTGTGAACACTTAGTACTGAGGCTTCCTCAAGTGGTTGTTTTGGGGGAAAAGCTGGAGAAGACACATCACGGGAGAATCAGAAGAGTTAAAAGAAAGTGCACACAGTAAGTTAAGGCATACAGTTCAGTGTCTAGTTTCATCACCTCCTTCATGCTGGTACTTCACAATTAAAAACACCCAGAAAAATGTGAAGAGAATCTCATTTGGTGTTTGTGACTCCTTAATACTAGGTATGACATCTGTAAGTACATATCTAAAATATATCTGCTATGAAATTTGGTATATAAAGTTTGATCATGTGTTACTTGAGAAAAACCTGACTATGCCATTAATATGTGACAATAATAAAACAAGTGATCTGCCCAGTTTTGCTGATCAACTAAATCTCCTGGTAAAGTGTTACATGGTTGAAAAAAAATCACATTCTTCAGAATATTTGAAGATAAGGGCATGTCCAGGAAAGAAAGGTGCACAGCTAAAAGCAACAGAGAAACATTTGAAAAAATTCAGAAGAAAACTCCTGCTACGTTCAAACAAATGCAACCAACCAAAAAACAGGAAATGGGAACCTCATTATGCTCAAGATAGAACTTGAAAATATTATTCTGTTAAGCATGAAACATACCATGACTTGAACAAACATTTTAAGATTTGGTTTCTTTTTGTTAGTATCTTCTCAATTATAGCAATAAAAATAATTCTCCTAAATATTTTCTTAATTCACAAAATGCATTTTGACAGAATGGGTTTTAAATATATGTATATATTTTTATATAATTGTACAAATAATATACAACACAAGAATCTACCAATATTCTGTAAATCTGTATTTGCCTGTACAACGGAACAAAGTCTCTGCTGTTTCCTATCTGTTCCTGAATTCGGATGCAATAGGGAGAGGTGGATATTTCAACACTTCTACAAGGTATCAACAATAGCTCTAGTTCCTTACCTGTCGAAGTCTGAAAACCTTGAAAAAATGTATTTCAAACAATTTTTACTTGTGTAGCTAAATCCAAGTCAGTAATAAATACTCAGAAAATAAGCAGACCTCACTGAGTTTTTTCACTTTAAAGACAACTATTTCACTGTAATAACCATCTATTAAAGAAAAATACAGCACTTTTATACTGCATAATTAAGCCTGTATTTAGGCATAATACACAGTGTCACATAGTCAAAGGCTAAATGGCAGAAAGATACTAATCTTGGTCAAGCAACTCCTCTGAAATCATATGCTTCTAACTAACCATCTTCCATATTATAAAGTATATTTATATACTCTCATGTATGGTGCTCATTTTTCCAAAATAATTGTAGAGAATGTGATGAGCCATCTCAGGTCTTATAAGAGCTTCAAGACAAGAGGGCAACAATAATATGAAACTGTGATGGTATTTAAGCACAAGTACAGGAAACATTAATTAATCAGGGTGTTAAGAAGAGAAGGTACAGGTACATCACCTATTGTATTGCACTCTACATAAAATTTACCTGCCCCTCCAAAACACTTAGGCATTTCTTTTTCTTCTCCTACATTAACTTTTTTCTTCAGATTCTATGTCATGGAATGGTTTGGGTTGGAAGGGACCTTCAAGATCAGCTAGTTCCAACACCCCTGCCACGGGCAGGGACATCTCCCACTAGACCAGGTTGGCTCGGAGCCCCATCCAAGCTGTCTTGTAAACAGTCCTTCCTCAGCTTTCCTGTAGCTCCTTCAGGCACTGGAAGGCCGCTATAAGGTCTCCACAGAGCCTTCCCTTCTGCAGGCTGAAAAACCCCAACATCTCAGCCCCTCTTTGAGAAGAGGTGCTCCAGCCCCCAGATCATTTTTATGGCCCTCCTCTGGACTTCCTACAGCAGGTCCGCATCCTTATTGTGCTGGGGGCCCCAGATGGGACACAGTACTCCAGGTGGGATCTCATGAGAGTGGAGTAGTGGGGGAGAATCACCTCTTGTTTTCCAAAATCTTGTAAACAATTGTTACAGGACAGTAGGCACCCTCAGTAACTAGACTTGCCTCCTAAGTAATCTCCAACTGGATACCGCTTTAGAAACTGCTGCAAAGAGTCTAGTTTACTGTGTCCCACTTTCCTTCAACCATTCACACATACACTTTGGAAGAGGCTTCAGGACAGGTTCTTACTTGGTTCAGCTCACCAGGAACAAGCTGAGAAAACTTACAACTTAAAAAGCTGTAAAAACTTACAACTGTAAGCATTTGTAAACTTTAAGAGTGCTAGTGTGATTTTGTAGCACTCTCTCATGGTCTAAGGGAAATTACCCTACAGTAGGATGGGGCTCCCATTGAACTTGCTCTAGCCTACAGATCAATCAACTGATGACATTGCAAAGGCATTTTTAGAAGGATTTTACTCAATCCAATAAAAATCTCTCTAAAGTAGGTGGTATTTTACCTATTGTTCCAAAAGGTTTTGAAACTTTGTATTTTAAGATTCAAATACCATTCTCTCAATTCTTTTTGTTTAACTTTGACAAGCACATAGCTTATTTTTCACACCAATATATTAAACTTGGCAGAATTAAAGAACTTATTTGTCTTCAAAGTATTAAGTTCATTTAGCTGCACATATTAAGTTCAAAATATTTAAAAATTCTTCTTTCAACAGTGCTGCTGATAAAAACTAGATTATATCAAAATGTATTCACACAATAGAAGAGGATGGTTAACAAACTTTGGATTTATGTTATCAGGAATACGGAGAGGCGTACTTAAAACAGGACCAACTCTCAGTTATGTAAACCATAAAAACAAATTCTTCCAAATCTTTGAGTTCTCCTTCCCTGTTTTTACTCACCTTTTTCCAAAAATCCTCAAGCCAGTAAAACAGGACCAACTCTCAGTTATGTAAACCATAAAAACAAATTCTTCCAAATCTTTGAGTTCTCCTTCCCCATTTTAACTCACTTTTTTCAAAAAAAATTCAATAAGATAGAATGATAGACTGATGAAATCAAGAAAATATTTAGGAAAGGTAATGGTAAGAAGGGAAACCTATTTACCTGTTTTAAGTTTGGGAATCTGCCTGGGACTGGAGACATCTCTATTCAAACCTTTCTCAGATAAACTTACAGTCAACCTTTCTATTTTTAGTTTCTCTGTCTCAGTTCCTCCAACCTCTGAAATGAGGATGACACCAGTTTTCCAGTCTACATCAGCTGCTGTGAAATCAAGGACACTATACATTTTCATTTCATGCTACTAGGTCTCTATTTATAATGGGAATAAATACTACATAAAAACTCCAAGGTCAAAGACTGATAAAATGCCACCAAAAGCGTAGTACAAAACTGTATGTACAGACATTTCCCAAGTTACTCTGAAGTTTTGTCAAACATTTTCTGCAGTAACCTCTTCCACTTGTAGTTTTGTAAGTCAGCACTATTCTAATTATACACAAGGGGAACAATAAACAGCTTTGTTACCCCATTACAAACAATTAGCTTGTATTAAGTATTTCCAAAATAGTAACTCACAGCAGTTCAATCTCCTTCGGAAACTTCCATGCATCCCTTTAGAAACTAAAGAGCTTTAAAAACACCTCGTTTGATAAAATTAATAATTACCTGAAACACTGCCTCAGTATGCAAAAGGTTTTAGACACTTTCATGGTGGTTTTGAACACCATTTTTTAACTAAGTCATGCAATAAAATAAAAAAGTTGCTTTTTAAGTTCTGCAAGTCCTGCTACAATGAAACACCTCGTTCCAAACTACAAGCTGTTTCCTACTCACAGTTCCAAGGAACAACTGGGTTCAGCTAACCACACACACCTGTGCTCTCCTCACCCAGCTGCAGGGACAGGTTCCCTGCTTTGTTACCAGGGGCACTCTCAGAACCGATGCTTGAATTGCCTTCTCCGAACGTGCCGCACCCGCACGCCCTGCCCGCGGCTCCCCCGGAGCAGCTTCCAGCGCCGTTTCGAAACGCTCCAGC